TGAATCCAATTCACAGCTTCCTTTTATAGCTCAAACATGAAGAAAGGTTGTGAAAGTCTAGGCACTATGATCTTACATAGTGGCAAATGACTATGATACTGATAATAATAGGTCTTACTCCAATCACTAGGAACTTTGCTGATAATCCCATTTCTTTATGGAGCCATATGGAGAAAGAAAAGAACAAGAAATACATAAACACTGAGATTTCATAAATTGAGTGAAGGAAATGTTGCCAAAGCCATATTTCCAGGCTATAATTCCTTTTCTGTCTTTTCTAACTAAATTCTTTCTAATTTCCGCATCCATTCATAGTAGAAATAGCCTATTGATTTCTCTTCCTAAACATATAATAATTTTTTGAAAATGCTTATAATACAATGATAAATGGAAAAAACCCAGAATACTCATGCAAGGCATAAACATGTCAATATATTAAAAAGATCTCATGTTGGTTTTATCTTTATAAAAAAAAATCATATAGTATTTTAGTTAAGAATTAATGTTATAAAATGAAAAGATTGCATGTATACTCATTATATCATTTATATAATGTTTCATAATAAATATATTTTGAAATCATCATATTTTTCAAGAGGAAAACTGTAAAAATATAATTAAGCAGCATCCATTTTAGAAGAAGTTTTTATCTTAGTGATCAACCTCAAGACTACTTCCAAAGTATTTTGGTTTTGATGCTGTGATTATACAAAAAAATAAACAATAGCTGGTACACATTTTTAGATAAGCAGTATTATTCAAAAAGTGTTCATAATACTTCTTTTGAGCCCATTCGTTTTAAAAGACATGTTCTCACGTAAGTTTTCTAGTGGAATCTTTACATTTTGAAATAAATCAGATGAAAACATACAGTAAGGGAGGTAGTGAAAGAGGAAGTACTAGAAACTGATATGGAGCAAATTATATTCTGTGCATATAAATTATGTCAAAATGAACTTGAATATTATTCTTAACTATAATACACTGATAAACATATTTTTAAAAACATAAACATTATCTCATAAGAGCTTTATGTAAGAACTTTTGTGTGTGTGTGTGTGTGTGTGTGTATGCCACTTGAGAAGCATTTATGACTATACCAAAGGGAAAACTGTTATACTGAAAATTCTAAAAATTTGTGATCCAAATACAATGCCTAGAAAAAAGCTGATTTTCCTAGCATTCCATTTTTATACTATCATTCATTTACTACCACAAAATCATCTGCAATTGTAAAAGAGCAGAACAGAGGGAGAATAGATTCCTGACTAGAAAGATAGAACCCAAACATGTATTCCTCCTAACATTGTATCTCCTTTTCCATCTTCTGAAGTTTAAGTCTCTCTAAATGGTTCTATCTCCCTGAACAAGCAATTAGTACACTTTTCCTCATAACTTTTGTCTTTTAATAGATTATGTCAAAATGAACATGTCTTTCATTAATCTGCAAGTTATTACAAGTTAGGGAATACTTCACTTCAGAGGGTGACATATAGACTCATAGAACTCATGTAAAGGTTCAGTACCAAAGTAACACTGGATTGTTGTTTATGATTTTTTTTATATATAAAGAAGAGCACTAAGCCTTGGAGAAACTAGTAAAATTCTCAGAATATGAAAGTGTTAAGATTGTCATGATGTTTATTGACTTAGTTTTACTAAGACCAAGCAATAATAGTTTTTGAATAGAAGTGATGATACCCATTACAAAATTAAAGAATTATAAAGAAAGCTAAATCACTGTGCACAGGATTATAATAACCATTTGAAGGATAATATACATTTTAAATTTAAAAAAAAAAACAACATTGTATTAAGTTTCAAAAGTTTGATTCAAGACCTTTAAACTAGTAAAACAAGTTTGGAATTCTTCTAAACTGTATCTCATTTTAAATATGGGAATACTTTGGAGGAAAATTTTTTTTGTACTTTATTTTTTTATTAGTTATTCAATACAATACAATGATCTTGACATATCATACATTTGATTCAAATAGGATATGAATTGTCATTTTTCCACATGTACAGATTGTAGGATCACATTGGTTATACATCCATGTGTATACATACAGCAATCCTAGTGTCAGTTGTATTCTGCTGCCCTCCCTCTCCCGCCTCCCCTCCCCTCCCATCCCTATTGTCTACCATTCTACTGTGACACTTATCTCTCTATTTTTTTTCTTCCCTTCCCCCTCACACCATCGTATATGTATTTTGTGAACCCATGATATAAACCATAAGATATCTCCTAGACTGAAGACCAAATTCCTAGAAGTAGTTAACAATCTCTTTATAAATAAAGAAGTTAAATTCCCCCTCTTATATTATTTCTTTAAAAATTAAGATGGATATAAAATATTTTCAAATCCTAGAAGATTGTTTTTTTTTGATTAAAAGAAAACCAAAGTCTGGGATTTTTATTTGTTTGTTTTGTTTTGTTTTGTTTTTCCATCCAAAAGTTGGTGTCATTTTTTCTTCATAGTGTCTATATGAAGGTACTCAATTTACTCGATTTCCTTTTAAAGAGAAAAAACAACTTTCCATTCTTACAAACATTCTTTGAAGCTCTGATTGAAGCAATTAAATGAAAAAAAAATGACAATCATAAAGATTTTCCAGATACAAGAACAGAGAATTTTACATTTGTAAAGTTTCAAGTTAGACTAATATTTCTAAAAGCAGGTGACAATGACCTATGAAATGTAAATACTGCCCAAAGGTGGAGCTATTTCATAAATTGTAGCAATCAGTTGATCTATAGAAAATGGATTTAATGAGATATAGCAGACATTCATAAATTTTTAAAATGGTAGACATTCATAAATTTTTAAAATGAAAATACAGACACAACATATCAGAATCTATGGGACACAATGAAAGCGGTTTTAAGAGGGAAATTCATCACCTGGAGGTCATTCCTCAAAAAAAGAAAGAAACAACAAATAAATGAGCTCACACTTCATCTCAAAGCCCTAGAAAAGGAAGAGCAAAACAACAGCAAATGTAGCAGAAGGCAAGAAATAATTAAAATCAGAGCAGAAATCAATGAAATTGAAACAAAAGAAACTATTGAAAAAATTGACAAAACTAAAAGTTGGTTCTTCGAAAAAATAAATAAGATCGACAGACCCTTAGCCATGGTAATGAGGAGAACTCAAATTACTAACATACGGGATGAAAAAGGCAATATCATAACAGATGCTACAGAAATACAGAGGACAATTAGAAATTATTTTGAAACCCTATATTCCAATAAAATAGAAGATAGTGAAGATATCAATAAATTTCTTAAGTCATATGATTTGCCCAGACTGAGTCAGGAGGATACACACAATTTGAACAGACCAATATCAACGAATGAAATAGAAGAAGCAATCAAAAGACTACCAACCAAGAATAGCCCAGGACCAGATGGGTATACAGCGGAGTTTTACAAAACCTTTAAAGAAGAATTAATACCAATACTTTTCAAGTTATTTCAGGAAATAGAAAAAGAGGGAGCTCTTCCAAATTCATTCTATGAGGCCAACATCACCCTGATCCCGAAACCAGACAAAGACACCTCAAAGAAAGAAAACTATAGACCAATATCTCTAATGAACCTAGATGCAAAAATCCTCAATAAAATTCTGGCGAATCGGATACAAAAACACATCAAAAAAATCGTGCACCAGGATCAAGTAGGTCATCCCTGGGATGCAAGGATGGTTCAATATACGGAAATCAATAAATGTTATTCACCACATCAATAGACTCAAAGATAAGAACCATATGATCATCTCGATAGACACAGAAAAAGCATTCAACAAAGTACAGCATCCCTTTATGTTCAAAACATTAGAAAAACTAGGGATAACAGGAACTTACCTCAACATTGTAAAAGCTATCTATGCTAAGCCCCAGGCTAGCATCATTCTGAATGGAGAAAAATTGAAGGCATTCCCTCTATAATCTGGAACAAGACAGGGATGCCCTCGCCCTCTATCACCACTTCTATTCAATATAGTTCTCGAAACACTGGCCAGAGCAATTAGACAGACAAAAGAAATTACAGGCATAAAAATAGGAAAAGAAGAACTTAGGTTATCAGTATTTTCGGATGACATGATTCTATACCTAAAAGACCCAAAAGGGTCTACAAAGAAACTACCAGAACTAATAAATGAATTCAGCAAAGTGGCAGGATATAAAATCAACACGCATAAATCAAAGACATTTCTGTATATCAGCGACAAAACTTCTGAAACGGAAATGAGGAAAAACACCCCATTCACAATATTTAAAAAAAAAAAAAAAAATACTTGGGAAAACTATCTTATCATGGTTTTAATTTTGATCACCTGATTAAAGAACAGTATTTTTGGTATTGTAATTCAAGTAAAACAAATTATACACATGATTTTTTTTAACCTGTGTTTAAGCAGTATGTTTTTAATATAGCTATTAGAAATTATTAAAGTATTATGTGACTTACATTAGTTTTCATTGGAAGTATTATATAAACAAGTAAATTTAAATAATATTGAGCTCTTCTTTATACTTTATACACGTATACATTTTCTATTTTTAAACCAGAACTTGAAAGTGACAAATGTGAATATTGGTTAATCCTGAGTCTCAAAGAATGAGTAAGCACAGGGCAGATTTGTATATAATGCAAGTTACTTATATAGCACCAGCTATCTAAAAACATAATGATGAAGAGAAATTATATTGATAGGTATGATAAAAAGAATATTCAACACTTTCATACTGATTCATTCTCTCATTTGTTCTCTATATGGCATTAATTAATTTAAGCAACAATCTCACATTGTAATATCTAAATGATAGTTGCAATGCTTAAAAGTGATTTAGAAAATTGTCAATAAAATTATTGGCAGTGAGTAGCTCTGATATCATCCCTTCATTATCAATAAAACTGAAATTTGAATCCAGAAAATTTAATAACTTATGCAATACTATTTAGAAACATGCAAACTTAAAATGGTTATTCATACCGTCATAAATCCATCCAGCAAACCTGAGTCAGGTTTTGGAGGTGCTTGCAACCGTTCCATTGACCACTTTTCAATGATGGAAGAGACTTGGGTGTTTTCTGTATTTAATATTCTGAACCCTGTCATATTAACACCACTGTATCGGTAGGGCTCTACATCAAGAGCAAATAGGTCCTGAAAGACAAATTTCTTTCTGTTATTAATAGAATGCATTCACAAGCATATATTGAAATAGTCATTTATTCTTGCTTCCCTTAGAATATTTAAGACCATTGTGTCTCAAGTGGCATTAAATATCACAAATGACCAACGTTTAAATAGATTGCGCTCATGTTTTGATGATACAAATACACGTACTCTGTACATAAACATGTATATATACTTCACTTTTATAATTTATTTTTAAGACTTGCAAGACGTTTTTTCTCCACATTAAGGACAGCTTGCCTTTATTTTTTATGCGATCATGTTTTACTTTAAACTAATTTTGTTTATGCCTTGCTTGCTTATGTAGTTACTATCATTTGTTGGTTCTGTTTTGTCTGGGATTTTGTTTTTTTGTTTTTAAGAAGCAGATCATGAAATGATATTTCTAAGTAATAATAAGTATAAGAAAGGCAAGTAAAGAAGTTAAGAATTATTAGATTGTTGGTTGTAGAAATCTTGTGCTTCCTTTGTCTCATGTCCTTCTGAGGACCTCACCATAAGGAGCCCTGCTTCTGTTGCCCTCTTCAGTCCACATAGAGTGAATGCTCTTGTTTTGCCCTTTACTTTCCCAGGAGTTATAAGGCCACAGCTATCAAGGGACTTGGAAGTCATCATGAGAACACACAGCATGTGGGACTACTGCCCTCTTTCTAGTTGGCATCAGATTTTCTGGACAATATTGGAACCAAGGCGAGACAAATGCCACTGGACCTCTGCACAGCTTGCCTGGGACTTACACAGCTACACAGGCTGGATAACAAGAATACAATTCAGTGGAACTGGCATTGCCTGAATTGTGCTCTGTGCTGAAAAAAAAATAAAAGTAAGGAGTCTTCAGTTTTTTTCAATACTTAATGTTGATACTCTGAGGAAATAAGATGTATTCAAACTGTAAGTAAATAGTGCATGGTAATATGCTAAGGTGCAAAAGAAAAGAAATGATAAGTACTGGAGGAGTCAGAAGCAAGACAGATAACTTTGAACTCTAAGGTGAGGGAAAACTTCACAGAACAAATAGGATCTGAGTTCTGATGGGGCATACCCCCAAATATGGGGCATTGGAATACTGAATGCTTTAAACTGAAGGAAACTGAGAAAACTGAAGAGCAGGAAGGTCAATCTATGACTTTCTAACACCTTTCTCCCTTGATGTGTGTCATGAAAGAATTTCTTGACCTACATTCCTGAAGAGTAGGTCACAAAACCTTCATCGCAGAGTGATCCTGACTAATACTTGAAAGTACAGAAGAACTTGAACAAACAGGCCTTGCTAAATTGCCCACCGTCTTATTACCAGGAGACTGTATCATCTCCCTTTTATTCGATCATATTTTTACACAGCTGTCCACTCTTCATCAAACCAAAGCACTTAAATAGAGAGATTTCTCTGTTTCTTTGGGTTTTAATTTCTGAATGTTTTCACGTCACATACAATTTATATTAAATAAGTTTGTTGCCTTTGTCTTGTTAGTCTCAGCCATAAACTTCAAGATAGGTGATTATTTATTTTTCCCCCTATATCTGCCATTACGTAATGACCAGACTCCGACAAAAATGGCATAGACCATGTGAAAATAGACAAAAAAGGGGGGAAATGTAATATCTATCTATTCAGGAAACATATCTAGATCCATTTGGTTGTCAAAGAGAATCCATAAAGAAGAATCAGAGCAAAAGAAAATTGGGAAGTTAGGTTAGAATAAAAGTATAAAGGGCTTTCAATTATAGGCCAATTTATATCTACGTTAAAGTAGTTGTTTCCTTCTCTTTCTCAAATTAAGAGATGTTTTTGATTTTCTCAAAATATTATAACTTTGGTAGAGTTGTGTTGCAACAGCATTAAAATGTAATTTACTGATAAGGGAAGAATTTCCCTTCCTTTTCACCTACCAACCACTAAGTATCTTACAAGCTATAAAAAGTAAGGTTATCCTTGCTATTTATTGGTAAAATAGAAACTACTATATGAAGAATCTCCATTGGAGGGAAGAGTTATTATCATGAAAAGCTATGGAAATCAACTGAATTTTGGTAATTTGATCTGGTTACTTCAAGACTCCCAAAAGTAAAAAGAGCATTTGGAACACTTGAATCAACAGAGAAAGCAATGATTAAACTGGTCACTGTGGGAATAGAAAAGATGGATGCTAGAGACCCTTAAAAAATCAGTAGAAGTTTGTGGTGGATGCAGGAGTCAGACACAATGAAGTTTTAAAGGAAATCAAGAGGAATCAATTTGGAGGACAATACATTAAGATTCAAATTTTGAAATTATCTTAATGGCAGAACAGTTAGAACTATTCAATATTATATGATAATTAAGAATATTACTTATGAACATTGAGAACTCATTTGAACAAAGGTGTTAACTGGAACTCTAAACACATACCAATTCTAAAGAAAGTAATTGAAGAGGAAAAAGAAAATAGAATGAAGATGCCTTTTTTTTTTTTTTTTTTGAGACCCAAATTTTAAAATGCTCTCATATTTTGGAAATGGGCAGGAAAGAATTACTTAAAGAGACAGAGAGCTCCTTCACAGAGGATTAATAAAGAAATAAAGCTAAGAGTAAGTGAGTTTGATTAAAGGGTAAAGTCAGATTTTCATGTATAACAAGCAAAAACATGTGAAGACAAAATATAAAGGTAACATTTCATTTTCTAATTGCAAATTAAACCATATTGACTTTTAAATAATCAAACTAAACATGGGTAAAAATAAGATAGAAAATTTAATCTCCTCAAAGGGCAGCTTCAATAAACCTGATTTTCAAAAAATGAATAGAATTGAGATAATGACATAAGAATTTGTGTTCTAAAACATTGATCTTTTTCCAGCAAACTAATTTTAAAATCCATTATGTTCTGAAAGCCCTCTGAAGCAATATAAAAATATGTAATATTTTGAATTGATACCTGAAATGATATTATTTTGAAAACATATCCTACCACCAAAATTATTAGTTCTTTTTTATAAATCCTTGTGGATTTTATAACTACAAATGTGCTAATCATTATATTACCTCTTCACAAAAGCACATTTTTCCTCCTAAAAAAATCATAATAATAAAATTTAGAACATTACTTTTGTGTTTTAATAAATTACTTACCAAAGTGGTAAAGATATAGTGGTAGTATTCTGTCATCATTCCCATAGCTAATGCCTAAAAAATAAAAAAAAAAAGATAAATAAAAATATTAATATAGAAGATATACCTAGCATAAAATACATTATGGCAGTAATATAGATGAGCACAAAATAGTAGAATGTGATAAAGAATCAACCTACAATATTCATGTTACATCAAAATTTGGATTAAATTAAACCTTTCCCCAGTAGTTAAAAATGATTAGTGTTTACTAAAGGAATTTTGCTTGTTTATTTGTTTTAACAGTTGAAAAAAATCAATTATTTATTGAATATTAATTCATAATGAGCATACATTTCCTTAAAGAATTTGAAAATAAATCAATTTGAATTTGAATTACATGTGCCACTAAATATTTAGTGCTTTAGGCCATTTGTTATTCAATTTGACTGGCAATTACAAACTTACAATGTAGCCTGTATACTTTTCAATGATAAGTTGCATCCAAATATCTTGTTCAAAAAATATATTTTACAAAGAAACAGTGTACATTTTATACATTATAAAAGAACTAGTTGTTTTATATACAATTGTCGGGCTTATATATAATAAAACAATTTATCATTTGTTGACCTAATTCTCTTGATAGAAAAGCTAATAGTTGAATGTTTCCATTTGTGAAACTTATAGCTTTACATATTAAAGGAAGCATTAAATTTGACCCAAACCTGAAATTAGCACATCTTAGTTCCTTATATTTGTAGTGTCTTCACTACAGTGCTACTCAATTAGGAAGAAAGTGTCACAAAATACAATGTCAAAGGCCATTTTTTTCCTCTTAGTACTTTAGAGACATTTCTTTAGATTAATGAAGGAACTATATATCACTGTTATTATTAAAAAATTACAGATAATTATAGAAACATTGTTATTATTAATAATAGTTTACCTGTTGTTTTGTTTTACTTTTCCACTCTCTTTATTAATTTTAGACTATCAATCTTAGAAAAGGTTCTTATGGGTCTAAATGTCCACCTCCAATGAGAAATGTCTATGTAATTTTCCTCTCTGAAAATAGAGGATACTTTGAAAAAGTTTATCAATGGACAATATTTGGTGATGACAAATGAAAGTGTATTTGTCAACTGAATGAAGAGGTCTTAAAAGGAAATAAATATTCTCAGGTGCATATAATAGTCTTCCGCAAATTACTAACTACAAAAACTCTTTTAGTTAGTAGTGAGCAGCCCTAGCCAAAGCTTTTGCGTTCTATGTATAAAATGCTTATAGGTAGGTATTTACCAATTAACTAGAATAAAATTTGTAATTTTACAACATAAGCCATTCAGTTAAGAAAGGATAGATATTTGTGTGTGGGGGGGGGAACATATGAAGTACTTTTTTAAAAAGAGAGAAACATTGGTTAATAAAAACATTGGTTTATTTATACAGAGAGTGTTCATTGATTGCTTCTGCTGGATAATTGCAGAGGGTTTCTCGTCTTTATAACCACTCTATGATACCTCAGTATTGTCTTTGATTCTTCTTTACCAATTCAACTGGTATAGAAATAAAGATAACTGAGAGAAACAGTGACTCAGATAAATGGATAAAAAACAACATGTGATGCCTAAAATGTGTTTGGTACTATTCTAAGAATATTGAATATTTAAACCTCATAAACCCCCCTATGAAATAGGTTCTATTATATCCATTTTACAGTTGATGAAATGAGAACTATATAACAACGATGAATAAACTGCTTAAGAACACAAGATAGTGAGTAAACATGGACTTCAGGCCTTGGGGACACACCTATCCTACCTAAAAAAAAAAAAAAAAAATGCTTTGAGATTTTTAAAAAATTACAGCTGAATTTATATCTTTAACTGCAAGGAGTAGAGAGTGGAAAATTAAATCTGTTTTTAGTCAGGAATTATGATTAGTGCTGGCAAAAGTTAAGCTGTCTTACAAAAAAGGGATTGGGTGAGGTCCCAGTCTCTGGCTGGTCTGAGGGAAGGGATCTGTTGAATAAAATTCAACAGAGCCTAACAATATTTGGAAAACTACAGTTTGACTCAGTCCAAATCTTGGCCAGAATTTGAAGACCAATTCCAAGGTTCAGCAGACAAGGTACCTGAGATCTGATTCATAATGGTCTTCCAATTTCATTTTAAGTGCTCCAAACCAATCTATTCCATTTTTATTTTCTTCTTTTACATTTAAAATCTATGTCATTTTATAGAATGACATATTTTATATTCTCAAACAGTTAGATTCATTTTTAGAACCTATGAATTCTAAAAATTTTCATTTTCCTTGATAATTTGAAAACCTTGGCATTTCAAACCTGTTTAGGAAATTGTGCTTTGGTGACAGGGGTAGAAAGGGATTGAAGAGATGGTGGGCAAGAGGGGTGGCCAGCTTCTGATATGGATATTCTGCACTGGTCACAAGTTTCTTCATCTCCATGAGAAGAAATTTAAAATGGATACCTGGGGTCTGTTTGTGGCTTTCATTAACTTTCTCTCAGCCTTTGATCTTGAAAATAAGAATCAGTTATGGGTTATGATATATGATCTATAAGAAGTTATAATAGAAATAGAAGAGGATAGTTATTTTTTATTAAGTACCTTTACTGCAATCTCACTCACAAAACAAAAAACAGGGATATAGTCTTGAAAGATTTGTTTAAAATAATAATAATAACAAAAGAACTTGCTCTGGATCTTCTTTTAATTTTATAGCATTATGTCTCACTACTACTTTTGAATGAATTGTATGCATACCTCAAAACACACTAAAAAAAATAAAATCAGTGTGTCTTTATGTACTAATAATGAATTACCTCAACAGAAAATTAGTTGTTCTATATATCACTTTCCTAAAAATATCAACAATTAGTTTTTCTAAAATAAAAATAACATTATAAATCTCCCAAATTAAGCTGATTTAGTATTAGAAATATTGTATGAAAAATTGCATATTTAGTTATCTAGGTATATAATTTACAATCAACATATTCTTTGGGTTATATCCAAACTTTATACTGCTCAAGATTTAAAATGAAGAGGGGGCAGGTCTCTATACATATCTCTTTATTTTAACTTTATTTTACTTCTTGCTATTGTAGTTATTTGCATCAGCTTTTCATTTTTCTAGTCTAAAGGTTTTTATTTCACACTTTTTGATCTAGACTTCGAATTTCCTGATTGCTATTTTTTTTTTCTCTGTGATAGGATGTCTTTGTGAGGTTTTACTTCAGAGCATCTTGACTCTCCCCTAGGGGATTCTCTGACAAATCTGGACAAAGGTGGAATCATCTGCTGTTGAGGCATGCCCCAATTAGTGCACTCAACATGCCTCAGAGGAAAATCTAGTAAACCACAAGCTCCACTCACTTTTAAATTTTTCAGACAAGAAAACTCCAAACTGTTGCTTGATATTTAGTAATGCTCATTTAGTTTAAATAGATAATTTAAATAAACAAAAAAGCCAACAAGTTTAACTTGATTAAGGCCATCTCTTTTTCTGGCTACATCTAACATTTACTCTTAAATGAGACCAGACTAGCTGACAGCTCATCTATTTCTGCTATTCAACTCCTATACTATCTCTTATGGTTTAGATGTGGTATCTCCCAAAAGTTCATGTGTCAGACAATGTAAGAATGATTGGGTGGTGTCCTTAATCTAATCAGTAAATGAATCCCTGATAGGTACCTGAGTAGTAACTGGAGGCAGGGGGTGGGATGGCTGGAGGAAGTGGTTCATTGGGGTGTGGCTATGGGGTATATATTTTGTATCTGAAGAGTGGAGTCTCTCTTTCTGCTTCCTGATCACCAGGTAAGTGGCTTCCCTCCAACATATTCTTCCACCATGATGTCTTGACTCACCTCAGGCCCCAAGGAATGGAGCCTGCTGTCAGTGGAATGAGACCTCTGAAATTGTGAGACCCCAAATAAACCTTTGCTCCTTTACACTTGTCTGGTCGGGTCCTTTAGTCACAGCAGCAAAAAAGCTGACTAAAATATTATATCTTCCAGGTTCCAACCTTAGCTGATGCTAAGGAATCTCAGAAAAAAAAATGCATAAATCATAAAATAGATTCCTATTGAATGTACTGCCACGTTTACTAAAAGGAAGGTATTTGTTTTCTTCTTGAATTGGTTTCTAAAATAACTGACATTCAAATGTGAGACAAATACTTTCTGTGATGAGGTAAGTTTAAAAAAAAAATGCCACCATGCATGTGGCCTGCCTGTGTTACTGGTCTTCGAAGCATAAATGTTGTATGATAATGTCACTCCAGTTGCACTTAACTTTCATAGAATTTTTTTGTGTGTGGGGGGGGGATGGATACCAGAGATTGAACTCAGGGGCACTGAGCCACATCCCCAGCCTTATTTTGTATTTTATTTTAGAGACAGACTCTGACTGAATTGTCTTGGTTTCTACTGAGGCTGGCTTTGAACTTGCCATACTCCTGCCTCAGCCTCCTAAACAGCTGGAATTATAGGTGTGCACTACTGTGCCCAGCAACTTTCATAGTCTTATTTTACCTTTGTTCTGTTTTTCATTGACGAGTTATACTTTCTTTCTGTTGAGTATATTTAAATATTATTTTAGTTCTGCCTTCATTTTGCACACAAAACAGGTTTATATAATAAAATAAATGTAAAATAATGGGTATACCCAACAGAAGGCAGGAGGCCAATTCTGTCATTAAAGGTTAAAGCTATGTTTATCCTCCAGATAGCAAAATAAGTTAGTTACTTCTTCAAAGAAAATATAACTGATCTTTTACATATTTGTAAGAAGTCTAGATAAAGAGGACAAAGTTCTGTTACTGGAATAGTAGAGTGCTCTGGGAGCCAAGAAAGGTCTGCTTTCCAAATTTGTATACTCTAAATGTGAACAAGAATTGTTTGGAAATTATGTGAAAAATAAATTCTGACTCTAGATTTTAGTGGTGAGTTTATTGCATCATTTTATTTATTACTAAACCAAAACCAAAATCACTCATATGCTTTGTTACCCAAACATAAACTAGAGCAAATTTTCAAATCAAATTAAATATTTTACTACAGTGAAAGCAACATTCATATTGGAATACAAACATCTGCTTAATAAACTAACCATGTTATAATAGGCATTTGTTGTCAGTAGTTATATTTAATGGGATATAATTTGTCATTTGAATCTGTATAACTCTCCAGCAGACATTTTATCCTTTGCATGAGAGGTCTGAAAACAGCTGACTAATTCCAAGCCATGTGATGTCACCACAGGGTGCATGAAAGAAAAATCTAAGGAGTTAGGTTCAAACCCCACTCTACCACCTAGTAAGTGCATTGCCTTCTACTAACCATTTTAATCCACAACTTTAGTTCCCTCACATGCAAGAGATAGATGAACAATAATTTCAATTTTTCATGTTTGCTGTGCAGTCTAAATGGTGCTTACTGCTCCAAACTGTTTCGTTTGACCAATTTAGAAGTGTTCTTTTAGGTAAGCATAGCTTTATTCTGGAATAAATATAGATGAGACATTAACCACTCTGCTATTTCCTTGCATTATTCAAATTTCTCATTCTGAGATGAGATTCAGATTTTGTGTATAAAGTGGATATAGTCCTTATTTCTTTTGGTTGTGGTGATGATGAAATAATATCAAATATATAAGGCATCTCTCTATTTTATCTTTTTTTTTCCTATTCTGGTAACAATGGATGAGTTATTCAATCATTGACATTAATAGTTTATTCCTTTATTTCAGTATAAAACAGAAATATCTATCTCATTATTCAATAATCTGATTAACAGTATTGTAGGCATTTGAATATATCCTCAAAACTTTAAACTGTTTTGATAAGCACGTATGTTTACATTACTTGTCTTTAAGACAATTAATTAAAAGCAATTTCCTGACTTTGTATTATAAAATTTCATGGAGGTGATTTCTCTGGTTTTTTAATTGACTGTAACAATGACATTGTATTTTTTTTAAATCTCATACTTCAAATGCAAGTATATGGAGACTAAGGATTTAATGTAAGAAATGCAAAATTACCTGTTTTAAAATGCCTGCTGCCATTTCATGGCTACAGTCAAAGATTACATGGAATTCTTTGCCTCTCTTCATTTCTTTCAATAAGGGTTTTGCATCCTTTGTATCAGCAGGCAGTTGACGGATTTTAAGTCGAAGATTATATCTTGACGGAGCTTTGATGAGTTCTTGCAAACGAATGAGACCTTTAATTAAAAAAGAAAAAAGGAATATTGGAGGCAAATCAGAGTGGGCCATAGAATCACCAAACACTAACTATGATGCATGATTTTCTTAATTATGTCCAGGTGCATTTCATGGTACAACCATTGAAATTCCTATTTTAATAAACTTCAGGTCCTCAGTTAATTTTGCTACAAATTCTGTAAAGTACTTTTCAAATCATAAAAGAAGTAAATAACTATAATTTAATGTAAATAATTTAAATTTATAGAAGGATTTAGAGTAAAATTTTCCTCAATACCCTAATTCCACCCTCCATTGAGTTGTCACTATTAATAGCTTCAAATCTTCTGTAAGAATTTCTATGCACTTACACACACATAAATAGAGTATTATTTTGTATTTTATATTAATAACTGTTTTTTACAACATCCTAGAGATCCTTGTAAGTCAGTGACTATAATTCTTGTTTGACTTAATGAACACTGCTTCAGTTTGCACACATCTTATATAGCTATTCCCTTTATTAAACACTTTGGTTATTTCTTTTTTGTCTTACTTGCAAGTAATGCTGTGATAAATACACATGTATACACAATCTGGTGAATATGTAGAAGTGAAGTAAATTTTCTTAATAAAACTGGCTCTAAATAACCTGAATCATAATAAATTATTTAAAAAAATATAACTGACATTCTTTTGTTTGTTTTCTAGATATAATATTTTAAGATATGTAAATACAAACACGTAAATATAACTTTAGACATTGGTAAAGTAGGCTTTCTCATAGAGAAGTTAACTCCTGATTAAATTTCAAATATATCAAATTAATGGATACATTAATAGATCATGGAACTGTGATGTATTTTAAAACAACAGAGACAGATTACTGAATTTATTCCTTCATGTAATTTTCAAGTAATGAAACACATTTAAGAACTGATATGTAAGACCCACTCTACAAAATAGTTCAAAATAAAAAAAATGAATTATTTAATTCTATTGTAACTTGGACAAAGTTAAGCAATTTCCTTTTCTCCTTCTATTCTTAATTTTTGTTTATCTTTCTTTTTAGAATATTACATCTGTATATTTCTACTTGTCTAGTACTACCTTCCCTAAAGACAGTACCATCATCATTATTAGTATGATAGTATAAAACAAGTTATTTTTAAATAGCTAATCTGGATTCCCCCCATTTATGTATATGGATATGTATGTAAACATGTCACTTAACTCTATTTGGAAACATGAATAAAGACATACCTTATTAGGACTAAGAATCTACTTTGTATTAAATGACCACATGAGATCTTGAGAATAAAAATTAATTTTCGGTGTTTTTAACTAATAACAAATATTTTAAATATTTGTTTTATTGCTAATATAATTATCAATAAATATAGCACATATTACAAATAATTTTGAATATCCACAATAATTAAGACTATTTAGTGGCACTAAAGCCAAAATTCCTGAAAAAAATGCTAATTTGGATTAGACTTAATTTTTCCTGCTATTATAGAAATTAATTCTATAATTCTATAATTCTAAAAAATATTCATGTAAATGTAGACTGAACAAATATCAACCTTAGCAAAGTAAAGAAATCTACCCCTTTTCTACTGATCTCACAAGATTGTGTAAATGTCAAATGTAATTTTGGTGGAATAAGTGTACCATAGCCAGAATATTGGGTTTGAATTTCAGTTCAAAATCTATGTATAGCTAATTAAAAAACTATAATCTATGGAGCTTTGTACATGGATTTGATTTCTTTTTTACAATAGGATAAAACATTAATATATAAAACACTGAAAAAGGAATCTTCTTATCTTAGATAGTAAATGATAGTTCATCATTGTAGTTACATTTGTCAACATGGGAAAAAAAATTTTTTTAAGTGCTGGGTATTGAACCCAGGACAACACATGCTAGGCTAGTATACTCTACAGCTTGAGCCAAAGAACAACATATTTTTTAAAAAATTACTGGCTACCAAATGGTTTTTGGAAGATATTTTGATACTGATTTAGATAAAAAGTATAGAATAAAAACTTAAGAGAACATTTTAAGAGATTAATTTGTTACCAAAGGAAAAGGAGATATACTTACAGATTAGCCCAGCAGTTTTGGATTAAAAAAGCTTAACTAATTCAAAAATAGAAATTTTCTTAAGGATGACATCCAGAAATAGTATTTGTAGAGTTCATCCTAAGTATAAATACTGCCAAGTATTTTCAAGTTTCTTAAGAGCTCATGTGGATAGTTCATTGAGCCATCAGGTACAATGTTTACTTAGTCTCTTCACACATATACTCTTCTGCTGGCATTAATGGAACAGATTTCAGTTTGCCAGCTTCCCCAGGGAATGATGTTGAAGAGCAAAAATATTTTTTTAAAAATCATTGCTGTTAGTTGGAGCTGCCATGTCCTACTTGAGAATTTGGGTGAAATATTGTCTTCATTCATTCATTCAATGTGTATTTTGTGTATTTTTACTAAGTTGAAGACACTATTTCATCAATAAATATAATAATTAAAATAATAGTATTTATTTGATCTTTATACTTTGACTATGGCATATCTTATACAAAAGTGGTTTCTGTAATGCTTTTCACATCCAATTTTCAAATAAGAATGTTTCAGCATTTCAAGTAAAGAGAAGAAATCTAGAGACCAGTTTGAATACTAAAATAGTGATGTTTAAATTCCTGTTTCCACCCCTTCAGTAGGTACTTAGTCTCCTCTAAGCCTTCATTTCTGTTTTGCATGTTATTTTTTTCTCACTTTTCCATACTTCTGTTCTTTATTCTTTGCTTTCTCCATTCCCTAACATTTAGATAGTAATCCCTCTCTGAATTCTATTATTTAGAATACATTGGATGAATGGGAAAAGGATAACAGAATGGAAAATGCATTAAAAACATCCAAAGAATAAAAGTTTCCCACCTGTTTTATGTGGGACAGTGATGTCATCCAAATAGCATAATTAATGTGTATGAAGTTTTTATTCAAAGAAAAACGAGTTTATGCAGCAGCAATGTCTTTTGATCACAATGTTAGCTGTGTGGGTCTCTAACCATCATTCCACCTCCCCCAATGTTTTCCCTTTGCAACTGATCATGTTCTGAGGAGATTATCCTAATTAAAACCTCTCATACACAAACAAATATGCATGCTTTGTAAAATGAAATATTTTTGTTTTCTTCTAAAAAAATAAGTATCCCCAAAATGGAGATGGTTGGCATATATTACTGCCATATATTCATCTGGTCAAAATGGAAAAATAAAAGGGAAAAATCTATTTATTGAAAATGTGGTTACTACAAATAATTTGCAAACCATTTTCACAAATACTGTTTAACAAATTCAGCACTCGATTAGGTTACTTAATGACACAGTAGAATTATAACTCTTTAAAACAGCCTTTTAATTAAAATGCCCCCCTTTCCCTAATGTAATTAGTTTATGTAATGATAATAAAAAAGAAACAATCTGCACAGATGGGTTCCTAAAATCTCTCCTAACAAAGAAGTGCACCACATTGCAATTATCTCCTTATTTTGGTAGATGAGTTACATTCTATTTCTCTAATTTCTTCACTGAGAGTACATTACCATTATTATTTTACCTTTTCCTACATTCTCTTACTTCAGTGGTAGCAGAAATCAAGATTTATATTTATGCTACAAGGATAGAGGTCTGAGCTGCTCTTTTCAGAAGTTGCCATCAATTTAGCTTTTAAGGAGAATCCAGAAGGAGCCATTTATGCACACTCCAGCTGGCACTCTCTTCTAAAGAAATCAATCACAACACCTCTTCAGCAGGCCCAACCTCCCCTAGCCCCAGGAAGGGAGTCCCATGTTTCCTCCCATACCCAGGTATCCATTTCAACAGCTACACAAACTAGAGCGTTACCACCTGGCTTAATCGCCAGACCTATTTATCATTTTAGTTAATGTGGTCTGTGTAATTCTTGCATTGTGTAATAAGCAATAACAACAGGAAAAAAAATGACTCCTCTGCATTCAGTGTTTCATCATCAGCCTTTCTGTTTTGGCTAAGGAAAGATAATAATTCATTGGCAGGCCAAATTATGGTATTTCAAAGAATTCTTTTTCTTAAAAGGTCTTATTTGGGCTACAGAGATCTTTCAAAGTAAACTAAATAGTGTATGTGCTCCAGTCATGGACTTTGTAATATAATAATGCTATGAAAATAGATTTACATATGTAAGTTTAAAATAGTTTATATTATAATAAGAGCATTAAAATGATTTTGATAGGAGTTGTATGTTGGCATTGAAAAAAAAATTTGGATTCCAAATTTTTATCAGCCATCCTTTATGGGAGTGAGATATGTAACTTCAGTAGAGAACCTAGAATATAGGACCTTAAATTCATGCCACGTTCTGCAACTCCAAATGTCTGTCTCTGACAAGAATATTTCCCTGAACTCTAGATTTCTAAGCTTACTTTTCTATTTGACATCTGTATAGTACAGAATTAATTTTATCTAAAGAGGGGTGTGGCTTTTGCTATTGTGTCCTGGTAGTTCATCTCTAAGTCTTTGGAATGCCTTGTCTGGCATGATTGTCTTTCTTAACTAGGTACCCTGGTTTATGTAGTTTGTGGTAAGAGCTTTGGGCCAAGTAGTATGAGCTCAACCTCTGAAGGTACTAGAGACTGTAAGCCCAATGGGTCATGCCTACATGACCAAGCTGCAAAAATAACTTTGGATACCATGGTTCAGGTAGGTTTTCCTGGTTGGCAATACTCTGTGCATATTGTCCCACATTATTGCTTGGAGAAGTTAGCACTGTTCAGCCAATAAGATACTCTTTTTCTACTTTCACTTACTTCAGCCATAGCTAAATGAGAGAACAATTTATAGCTCTGAGTGTGGATTTCTCCTGGACTCTGCCCTTGTACCTATGCCTTAAGCAGATTGTACTCTGTATCCTTTTGCTGTTACAGATTGTAACAGTGAGTATAACAGTTTTCAAAGAACTCTGAACCTT